TCATTCGGGTCATAAAAAGTAGTCTAGTACAATCGATACGCTTTTGGGGCAGCTAAACTTCCCACATGGCCTTGATGAATTGTTCTAGTTGAAGGCGAACTGAAGGCTTTCTATAAATGAAAAATGGCAAAATCGTACCCCCCTCATCCAATTATCGATGACTTCTTGAATTGCTGATCTTAGAGCAGGGAGGTAGTTCGGTGAGAAATCGATGTTGATTAAAGTGTTTATATTTGTAACTCCCAAGAAAATTTCTATTAAGTTAATCGTAACAGGGTTACCCTCTTTTGCTACTCTCTCATCAACTCCGCCTCATTCCTGTCATGACATCTTTTGATTAAGATTCTCTTCTTATTGCAAATGTAAGTCTCTAGTAAGGATAAGTGAGGAGTTAAGTTAAAGACGTTGATTGTGAGTTTGCCTTAATCAGAAGGCCTAATTATTCGAATGAAAGCCCAGTTGATGATGATAATAATATAAAACGCCATGAAGTTGGTACCTTAAGGTGGCAGCAAGTAAGAAACATTTTTTTATTTTCCCTGAAGATCCTTGATTTCGTGGGTTAGAGGCCTTAATTAGCGGTTATACTGAACACAACTAAGTATACATTGATATCATTTTTATAAGTATCATCGAATATGTATCAACAGGCAAGGTAAATACTTGTGCACGATGACCTTTCAACTACGGGAAAGTAATCTCTGAAAGAAAACTGGTTTATAGGTCATAAAGTTGTCAAGGCCACTGATCCGACATTTTTTCTCGACTGTAGAAAAGGCGGTGTGATTCAATTTTTATCCGAGGGTTTCTGTTTTCAAATCCCCTGTTCCCCTTAAAAAATAGAATAGATTATCGATTTCTAATCACAAGAAATAGTCAAAACGTAGAGAACGGCGAAAACTTTCAATAGAGAAGGAAATAGATTCATAACTGCGCCCAGCCCCCCCCCCCCATGTAATGCGCATCAACTAATTTATACCCATTCCCTTACCGTAGAGGAACAAAGAACGCGAAATGGATATACCACCTCGTTGTATTTCACTCCATTTATACTTCACAATCTGGTTTGCCCTTCCTCAATACTGACATCTCTCCATTCATTCATTCACTTGGTCCTAATAGTTCTTTGCCATCTCCGGAAGGTTGTTGTCACCTGCCAGACATAGGAAGATCAATAATTGTTTTTAGAAGGTACAAGCCTCATATGATCTGGCCTTTTACTAACTTGTCACCGTTCACCATTTCACGCTCTAGTGCAAAACATTTAAAGCATCATTATCTAGCCAAATGACCCTATGTCATCCAGGCTCTTAGTGTCTAGCTCCACAAGATAAATTTCCAATGAGACACCTAAACTTGAGTGCATCTGGCAATTAATGATCTTATTAAGGGTCACTTGTGTGGTCTTCAATGCCTTGTAGGTTAGCAAGTTCTTCTCCACAATGCAGGGCCTTGTGCTCAAACATAGTGATTGGTCATGCAATGCAAGATATTTGGCCCTACGAATTGCTCTGAGTGGTTAGTCACACAGCTAAGCCGCCAATAAATTGACAAAAATTCTCCAGTATCGATAATTGTTTAATATTTAACATTTCCGATCCTGACCTCTTAACCGTTTAACCATTCCCATGTGTGAACATTTGTAAAATAAAACTCCCTTTTCACAGCTTTCGTAAAGGTTGAGCTGCCGGCGACACCTAGCAAAGTAGAAAAGAGAGGAAAAGTCAAGAGGACACACCTCAAGGTAAAAAAAATTTACCCAGTAATTTAAATAAGCAACAGCAGGAGCAACCGGTGTAGATAGGTGATACATAAATGCAAATGAGATTAAAGGTTTCATAAAGAGGAGGGTGTGAGAAAGATGCGAAGAGGAAGATACAGCGAGCGAGAGCGCGCGCGTTGAAGTGCAACAAAACTGTTGTGTGTGTGAGAGAGAGTGCGAGGGAGGGGCGAGGAAGGAAAGCGCAAAGGTACCAACAACTGTGAGCGCTCCACTTCTTAGCCAAGTCGATCCCACACATCGCGACGTCCGAATCTTGAATGTCCTCTAAATTGCCGCAGTGGACGTCGATGAGAGTTCTGGTGTGAATTACTTGGTCTGGGATGTTGCAGGACGAAAAAAGTCATAAATAATTTCATAATAGTAGGTTAAAATAAGATATGGCGAGTGGCAGTAGGTAGGGTAGAAATTGCAAGCAAAGCAAAGGAAAGCGTACTCAGAAACTCATCTTGGGCAAAGAGTGACTTTTCCACATGGACACAAAACTTGGAGGTACTGATAAGCAGCGGAGTGGCACAAAGCCATTTTTCCATTACCCAAATTCTTTATAGAAGAAGCTTCCTTCAACGAAATTCTGGGTGTAGTCCCGAATCCGTATTATCTGACGGAACAAATATCGGCATGTTACCACCCGCCAACGAGTCATTTGCTAGCAAAATTAGCAAGCTAATTAGGCTCAATAAGAGTCCATTTACTAATAGCGCGTGACTATTTAGGAAATTTTGGCAGAACAGACCGAATGGTTAAGGAAAGTGTCAAAATTTATTCTATTTCGCCGCGTAAATACGATCCATCATTATTTACTATCTCTGTCGACCTCCTTGATTTTCCAATGGAAAAGATGTTGATATAACTTCCGGCTAAAATAGATTGGATTGGGGGAGTAAAGGAAATGTAACTATACAAGAGAAAAAATGACAAAACAAGTGAACAAGTTATGGGACAAAATAATGGCGCAGAAGAGCCAGACTTTTTCTTATATTGAAAGTCAGTTTAGATACCATCAAGAGGCTTGGAAAATTTGCAAGGATTTAAAATCCATCCGTGATCTCGCAAAAGCTCCACGATGTAATGGAAGAGTGGTTTTTTCCCGTCTCACAGGAAGCAATTCGGAATTACATTTAATTATTAAAAGATGAGATGGGGACTTTTCTGCCTGGAATCACACACACACATACACAAAAGTAGGCAAAACACAAAGGTGTGAACTTTGGTAAAATCTCGCACCAAGAAAAGTGATTTGTGTTGTGAAGTAATCTCAAATAAAAGCACGGAATGAGTGTGATTTCACCATTCACTTTAGGCCGCCACTCATTCACGAAACGTAAATAAATTAAAGTCACACATGTAAAGAGCATTGGCATACAAATTACCTAAAAAGGTTACAGACTACTGATTTGGATTGTTTCGATTATAAGTACCTCGAAAAGCGAGTTATACCATTGGCTTCAACCGTTTTCCTTTCATCTGCTATAGGCTTTCCTCCCTACCATATTTTGCATTGATTCTTATATTAAGATGTTTTTAAGGCTTTGGAGCATTTTTGTGGAGTACAGAGGCGTAAACGCATGAGGATTGGCTGCTTTTAGGACTCTGCCCCCTTCCTACCACCTTGTTGAGGATAAATTTATAAAGCCGAGACCAATAGTAAAGAAGGACTTTCTTTTTCCGTTCAGAATTTATTATCATCAAACTCAGGAGACCCTCTCTCTAGCGCGGTAGGGATTTGTGGAAGCGTAAACGAGCGGACGTAAGGCCTAATTGACTTTTAATTGACAGGTGTGTGTGCGTGTGTGTGTGGTTGCCAAGGTGCATAGTGCGTTGGGCGATCCCAATTGCCTCTTTTCGAACACACTAAAACAGCTGGGCGTATGAACGTAAGAAGCTACTTTTGGCAGCTACATAAATCGTGTCAGAACACAACATTTAGAAAAAAATGAATTCTACATTTTTAGAAAGTTAAAAAAAGTATTTTCGGTGCACTTAAAATAAAGTTGGAAACTCCATCTCTTTTCACAGGATTACCAACCGTTGAGTTTCTACACTGTTGAAAATTCACCACTGCAATTACCGGCTAACCGGGCAACTGGTATTTAATACTTTGTAGTCAAAATCTCAGCAAATCTCCTTTTCTCATTCCGTGGTCTGAGCAATTGCAGACAACAAGAGGGGAGTTGTAGAATGCGGTAATCACCCAGAGATAGTGTTAAGTTATCATCCCGCGTTGTATTCGCCCCACTCTTAGCTGAACTCACTGCTCATCTGCCTCTCACCTAGTTGTTCTAGAAATTTCCTACAATATATTGGCGGTTAAAAATAAGCTCACATGCTGGTCCTGTCTACTGTCTGTGTGAAATAAAATATAACAACTACCAGGCGTCAACAGGTCGGACAGGTAATAGAAGTACCCCCCAAATAACACCTCGAGTGACAATCCTTGGGCAGGGGGGGGGGAGAGAGTGCATTTTAGAGGCGTCTCATTGAGATACCGCGGCAATCAAAGAACCAGTCAACTTCAGTAGGTATTAAATTGAGTGACTTAAACTAGCAAAAAAAGGTCGAATAAATTCTCTAATCAACGATATCTCCTACCACGAGGGAATTCGCATAAAAGGAGAGCAGTCCCGTAAAAATACAATCCAAAATAGCAATTTTTCGGAGGCTTTACGCATTAACAACAATACGAATAGCTGAAGTGTGTGTGTGTATGTGTGTGGTGTGCGTGTGTGTGTGTATATATACCTGCATCGAAAAGTAGATAAGCAAGCAATTATGAATACACAGACAGATATTAACTACCGCAAGTGGATCAAAAAGGCTTCTCTAAGCAAAAGGCGAATTATCAAATTTGCAACGGAAAGTCTTGATGTGCATCTGCTTGAGCGAATACGCCTTACGAAGGACTACCAATTTTAAATTTTCAGCTGTCTCCCCTCTGCAAAGTTGTCGAATACCATGCACTATCATTTTGCCCCGTTAAGCGTTGAAAGGAAGGATGAATTGAAGTGGCCGGATTGACCGTCTTTGCTAAAAAAGCGTCAATTATAACAAGAGCGCTTTTTCTCAGAACCCTTTTTACTCTCTAAACGGCCACATATAATAAGACTATTTATAAAATGTATCGGGGGTATAAGCTAACATTGAAGTACATAGAATTTCCAGATTATAAGAAGGCGTTGTTTTTTTCTTAAGACAATAGCAGTGGAAGAAGAAGGACCACTCACCCAGGTTGATCGAAGATATTGTCACTTCGCAATTGCTGTCTAGTTTTTGCCATCTCTTCTTCCAAGTCAGCTACCATGGTGAAGGAAGTGAGCATTTTCAGTGGACCTACTGAGTTGTCATTTTTTCTCTCAGGCAAAATTGTCACAGTTGCGAGGAGATGTGCACCACTACGACTTCCCAGACGTTCTTTGACGTTCACTCGGCCGAAATCGAAATTGAGTGACTGGGACGCTGTGGAAGGTGGATGGAATACAGAGGTAGCGTCTGATGATGGTGAATAACCCGCAGTGGAACGACGGGGCCACTTCGGTGGAGGATTTCTCGGTGGTTTAGACAAACCACTTGCTGTAAAAACACAAGGGAGAGTTGGGGGTAAAAGCCACTTAATCTTTTAGACCCTTTTTCATCGTCTCTTATTTTTCCATCGCTTATCGCGTTTTCTTTGATATTAGGTCCCGTACCCCCCCCCCCCTTTTACTCTTGGCTAGTCACCGTACAATTTCTATTCAACTAGGAAGAACTCATCGCAGATTGTAGTGCAGGTGGCTCCAATTTACAGCCCATGCACAAAATAAAGAGGATTTAATCTCTGAACAAAAATATAAAACTAGGATCGGTTAGAAAGCCAAAAAAGAGCATGTTTGATACGATAGGCTGAAGTTCATAACCTTCACCCACATTTAGTTGATTGTCGATTATTAGATTTCTGCGCCAGAATGTGTAAGCCCAATACTGAAGCTAATATAGGTGTAATTATTGCCTTAACCGAAAGTCAACCATTAACCACACGTTCCATTCTATATAAACTAACGCATTTTCTTAAAGAATTGCACTTTGACCTACAAGTCTTATCACTTCTTCCTGTGTTTTGACTGGCGATTGCTTATGAAGTGGTAACTAGAGGCTAACTCCCCCACCCCCATTCTTTTCATGGAGATACACCACCACTTTAGGCGAACTCCTCTCCAGCTTGAGGAAATTAGGAACATCCCGTTTACTGGTCCTTTGGACGTAAAGTGAGTTGAAATGCCAAAGATCACTGCTAGATTAATTAAATGGTCAAAAATCGCACGACATATTGGAAATAGCGACCTACCTATTAAGTAAATGAATGAAGTAAAATCTTTTGACTTTAACAGCAACAACTTTTCTATTCCCTTTCATGGCTCATTTTCCCATGAGAAGAAAAAATTATAGGATTGGAAGAAAATAGTGTGGGAGTAGCCCTCGTTGAGGGAGATATAAAGTGGGTTATTTCACGTTAAATGCGTCGTTGCTGTTACAAATAAGTCGAGGTGGCGCATGACAATTTTTTTCAAATAAACTAAACCGACCAACAAGCTCTGAATGCAGTGGACACAAGCTCAACTCTGAACCTATTAGGATATCCCATATAAGAACATGGAAATTCCGAAGCTCATGATTACATGACTATTACTCACTTACTGTTGATCCCTTCAATTAGCACAACAAAAGCATGATTTCCTAACAGACTATTTATTAGGTCTGGTTTCAATAAGACCTATTGCATACCTTACATACAAAGAAGTTTCACGTAACTGGATTGAAAGCAATTTCAGCAGAGGGTTGTTTCACAATACATTTTTAGAGATAGTTGTTCTTATTAGATAGGACAGGATTGAATTCTACCGAAATACATCTAGAAATTGGCATGTTAACACACAATAGGGCATCAAATCCCTACCATCTAACCCAGAAGGGACATACATATTGACCCCCCCCCCCCCCCCCCCTCCCACTAAAAGGGCACAACGCAACATAGGAAAAAAAATGAGTACATTTCACTTACCGACGGCCTCTCTCCTTCGTCCAGAGGGTAAATCTTGCCTTTGCGTGGGATAATCTTCTTCCTCTGAGTCGATAATACTACTTCCACGCTGAAGATGCAAAGCCAATCCATGTACGTCGTTATCAACATCCTCGTAGGAAACAAGATCCCTCACGTTGACACAGCGAACATCAGTGGTGGTTGGCGTGGGTATGACTGTTTTTACTCGACGTCGATAAGATCGCGACAGGAGCCCAATCGCACCCCCGTAGTTGGGATTCCCATAGCGCCGATAATAATTACTACGACGCTCTGCGCCAGGGAGCTTAACGTCGCCTAGAAAGGAGAGATGGGTGAAGAAAAGTTCATGACGGACATCAATGCCACAGCGAATTTCAAACAGAAATCACTTAAACTCTAAACACACTTACGTAGATCTATTCCAATATGAGATAATTATTTGCCTACCCAAACAGAGTTGAGAAGAAGTATGGTGTCTGGAAGCCCCTAAAATGCTACGTAATACGACCCACTACGTACATGTCGACAAATATCCAACCCAGAGGAAAGCAGGAAGAGAAAAATGACTTTACGGGATGTCTAGGACTCGATGAAATTAAATTGGTCGTAAAGAGAAGTAAGCTCACATAAGGGGGGGGG